ATGTTGTCTCACTCTTCTTCAATGGTTGTGCAAAGTTGCTGGATATTGGCGGGAACTGGAACACGCTGTCGTACACGTCGATCCAGAGCATCCCAAACATGCTCAATGTGTGGTGACATGTCTGGTGAGTATGCAAGCCATGGAAGAACTGGGACATTTTCAGCTTCCAGGAATTGTGTACAGATCCTTGCAACATGGGGCTGTGCATTATGAAGCTGAAACGAGGTGATGGCGGCAGATGAATGGCACGACAATGGGCCTCAGGATCTCGTCACAGTATCTCTGTGCATTCAAATTGGCATTGCTAAAATGCAATTGTGTTCATTGTCCATGGCTTATGCCTGCCCATACCATAACCCCACCCCCCACCATGGGGCACTCTGCTCAAAACGTTGACATCAGCAAACCGCTTGCCCACACAACGCCATTCACGCTGTCTGCCATCTGCGTTGTACAGTTAAAACCGGGATTCATCTGTGAAGAACACACTTCTCCAGCGTGCCAGTGGCCATCGAAGGTGAGCATTTGCCCACTGAAGTCAGTTACGACGCCGTACTGCAGTCAGGTCAAGACCCTGGTGAGGACGATGAGCATCCAGATGAGCTTCCCTGAGACGGTTTCTGACAGTTTGTGCAGAAATCCTTCGGTTGTGCGAACCCACAGTTTCATCAGCTGTCCGGGTGGCTGGTCTCAGACAATCCCGCTGGTGAAGTAGCCGGATGTGGAGGTCCTGGGCTGGCGTGGTTACATGTGGTTTGCAGTTGTGAGGCCGGTTGGATGTACTACCAAATTCTCTAAAACTGCACATTTTAGAGTGGCCTTTTATTATCCCCAGCACAAGGTGCACCTGTGTAATGATCATGCTGTTTAATCAGCTTCTTGATATGCCACACCTGTCAGGTGGATGGATTATCTTGGCAAAGGGGAAATACTCACTAACACGGATGCAAACAAATATGTGCACAAAATTTGAGAGACATTTTCTGGGATATTTTATTTCAGCTCATGAAACATGGGACCCACTTTACATGTTGCGTTTATATTTTTGTTCAGTGTATAATTAAAAACAACAATAAAAACATTGAAATAGGGAATCTCCATTGAGAGACAACAATGCATGCATAATAACAAGCACTCCATCTGGAGTGTCCCAAGTGTCACAAACAAAACCAGGATCACCGTTATAAGAGCAGGTCCCTCAGGTCCCTCTATCCAGGGCTGCGGATTCATTCTTCCTCAATAATTGTAATTTGATGATAAGAAGCTTAAATTCCCTTGTTATCCTCCCATAGATGAGACTGGGTGAAGAGCAGAGCAGCAATAAGAGATTAGCATTTGGGCCTGCTCTCGTCGTCCACTTAACATCATAATCAGGTCAGCTGTTCCTAATTTGGTCAGTGACACTCATTGTCTCTTGCCTTGGGACGTCTGGATGCATAAAGAGGGAGGAATATTAACCCCCTAGAATGAAGGGTTTGTTTTTAGGGGATGTGGCTCGTCATTGTATCATGGTGCATGAGTATGAGGGAGAGGCCTGTGGCAGAATGCGTCAGGTAGCCTAGTGGTTAAGACCATTGGGCCAGTAACCGAAATATATTTTGTTCGAATCCCTGAGCAGGTGAAAAATCGGTCTATGTGCCCTTGAGCAAGGCACTTAATAAGAGTGTCTGATTAATAACCAAAATGTAAAAAAAGGCCCTGAATCCACAGTGCTGGCTCTCAATCCGCCATTGACTGAATCGGTCGACAACTGACTTTGTAAGTGAGATGATGAGGGTAAACATTGTAGATATAAAATATTACTGCCTTGGTTTTAGCCTGTAAAGTAGACCTATTGTCTTTTACATGAGTGAATTGATATATGACCTTGTTGAAAAAATTTGGTCTTATCTCTATGATGTCCTGACTTGAACCTGTTAAAATTACACTCATAACAAAGGCGATACCCAGAGGCTATAACTGCCCAGAGGCTATAACTGCCCAGAGTCTATAACTGCCCCAGAGGCTATAACTGCCCCAGAATCTACAACTGCCCCAGAGTCTATAACTGCCCCAGCTGTGTATCAGCTCAAAGCCTCTGACCACAAATGACAGCCATAACCAAAACCCTCTCCTGTCATTCTCCCTCTCCTCTCATTGTAGATCTCAGATGACCCTTCCCCTTTCTCCTCTGAACCCTGGTCTTCCCTCCCAGCACCCTCTCCTCTCCTTGGCTGTCCTAAACTCTGTGGGAAACCTTCCAGCCACTCTCCTCTCCTTGGCTGTCCTAAACTCTGGGGGATACCTCCCAGCCACTCTCCTCTCCTTGGCTGTCCTAAACTCTGTGGGAAACCTCCCAGCCACTCTCCTCTCCTTGGCTGTCCTAAACTCTGTGGGAAACCTCCCAGCCACTCTCCTCTCATTGGCTGTCCTAAACTCTGTGGGAAACCTCCTAGCCACTCTCCTCTCCTTGGCTGTCCTAAACTCTGTGGGAAACCTCCCAGCCACTCTCCTCTCTTTGGCTGTCCTAAACTCTGTGGGAAACCTCCCAGTGCATTTGTGTCATCTGGACATTGTGTGTCCTCGGAGATAATACCCCCACTTCGAGATCCCGCTTTCCTTCCATATAATCCCCACCCTCCCAGCTGACAAGGTGATGTGTGAAGTATGGTGCCCAGCACTAACTGGCCTATAAGTGGGGGACTGGGGGTTAAAATGTGGTTTTCAACCAGCCTCGCAGGACAGCAGCACAGCCTCTTAACTCCCTCGCCACTGCTGTAAATTATATTCTCCTGCTAATCTGGTAACTGTCAGTGATGGTCTAATGGATCTTAATGACTGATTTGATGGTGATGATAACTCTATTAAGCTACAGGAGAAAGGAGATAGAGAGGGGTCCAGGTCTGTCTACTTGACCTCTCCTCAGGACATCAGTCATTACAGCTGGTGATTGGGTCATAAGCCATATGGTTGTAATCAAGCTAATTTAGAGTCTGATTGATTTATGTTAATATTTTACCTGTTATAACTGTCCCTAAGTGTAAACAAAGATGGTTAACTTTATACCGGTGTAAATAAAGGGACAAACTTTATACCGGTGTAAATAAAGGGACAAACTTTATAACGGTGTAAATAAAGGGACAAACTTTATACCGGTGTAAATAAAGGGACAAACTTTATACCGGTGTAAATAAAGGGACAAACTTTATACCGGTGTAAATAAAGGGACAAACTTTATACCGGTGTAAATAAAGGGACAAACTTTATACCGGTGTAAATAAAGGGACAAACTTTATACCGGTGTAAATAAAGGGACAAACTTTATACCGGTGTAAATAAAGGGACAAACTTTATACCGGTGTAAATAAAGGGACAAACTTTATACCGGTGTAAATAAATGGACAAACTTTATACCGGTGTAAATAAAGGGACACACTTTATACCGGTGTAAATAAAGGGACAAACGTTATATACCGGTTTAAATAAAGGGACAAACTTTATAACGGTGTAAATAAAGGGACAAACTTTATACCGGTGTAAATAAAGGGACAAACTTTATACCGGTGTAAATAAAGGGACAAACTTTATACCGGTGTAAATAAAGGGACAAACTTTATACCGGTGTAAATAAAGGGACAAACGTTATACGGGTGTAACGCTGCTCTGCATTCCACACCAGGTAGCTGACTGAAAATACACGTTTCAAATAAATTCTAGATTTGTGTTCAATCAACAAAATGCTAAATCTCAAATTCAATTTGTATTTTTGGGTTAGTGTCCAGCTTCGTCTTAATGGCTGAATAGACTTGTTGTGCACCAAAGCTATAGGCAGGGCCGGCCCCAGTTTTAGGAACTTCTACTGAGAGTAAGAATAGTAGAATACACCAGGTGCAATTTGGAAATGTGGTTGTGCATCAGCAGCAGTTGGTAGTTATTCTAGCCAGCTATCTAAACTTGAAGTAATCATTGCCGAATACAGACCGGCACGCAGAGCACATACCCTGACCTCTAGGGGGCCCTCACAGATTTTGTTAGTCATTCTCACTCAAATATCATACTGCATTAACATGGCATACATCATGGCAAAATGTGTAGAATTAAAGGAAATTAGCTTTAAAACTACGCCCCATGGGAAAATGTGTAGAATTGCAGGAAATTAACTTTAAAACGTAAAATGTTCTCTCCGTTGTCAAGGGGGGGGACCACTAAAATGTTTTACTGTGAGTTTGGGGGCTCCCCAACCAAATCTCGCTTAGGGCCCCCAAAAGGCTAGGGCCCGCCCTGGCTATAGGACCAGTGATATTTGAGTGAACACTCCAGTACTTATATTGTGCTCATTTGGTGATCATTAGATCATTAGTATTGGGACAAATATTTCCAGACAATCCATGTTTACCCCTTTGTTTTGGTCAAATTAGGATTACTCTGTTTCATGCCATCCATGCCAACTTTGGACGCTGCTACTTTGTCATTTGAATTGTGATGTCAGCTCAGACCAAGGACCCAATTGACCCGATGACCCCTAACCCTTATAAACCCTGGGGTTAGAGATCTGTATTCAAGGCATCTGTGGGCCCCCACTCATCCCTTTCCCCCTCTCACCCCCTCTTTCTTCCTCATCTCTCTCTTTTCTCTCCCCGGTACTATCATCCTCTCCTGTGTCCAGGGGCAGAGGGGTGTGAAGACAAGTCTCTGTGGACGACTTGTTTTTCTCTGTCAACTTTTAAACCCCAGAATAAAAGAGTGAGTGGCGCCCGTAAATTGATGTTCTATCTCCACGGGGCTTCTTTGTAAGCAATGCTTGTGTTTGTTGGATTTGTGTTCCAGAATTTGGTCTTCTCTGTTTTCGCTATAACATGTTTGATGTTTTGCAGGGTCTTTCTTATTTAAATTATTTATAATAAATGATAATAAATGAGTTATTCAAATGGATTTCCAAATGGATTGCTTAGATAAAAAAATAAAATAAAAAAAATCATATCCATATGTTAACTACTTAAAAATGGAGAGAAGCAAGCTTACCACTTTATTTACATTGTCATCCACAGGAGGATTGATAGTTTTATAGATGTTCAATTAGCCATACACAGATTGTCAGTTTAATTAATCAAGACTAATCAACTACACAAAACAACGAAGTTCATTGCTGGGGTGACTGAAAGCACTGTGTGAATGTGTTGTTGCATATCAACAGAGTTACCGTCTACTACGTCTAAACTAGTGTCTTTATGTTTGAGAATCTAATTTACAGTAACAGTGGTGCTGAAAAGCTTGAGTAAACTTAAGGAACATGGCCAGTGAAGTCAATGGAGGAATAGAGTCATCTGCTGGCAAGAGCATACGTTGATATATCTGTTAGTAAATGATTGTGTGGATGGTACTAGGTTCATTACACGGTCTCTAGAACTCTAGGGATGAACTTTGAACCGCACAAGAAATAGTTCATCCACCTCTCTTATCTCTCAGCTATGAGTGGGAAACACCGTCAGCCTGGTTATCAGCTTTGAGATGAGTTAAAGGTCTGTACAATATTGACACTAGCTGTAGGAGAGATTTGTTTAAACTCATACCAATACTGGTAGACATCGTATTATAAATTATTCAAAGCCAATACCTTCAAAATTATATGAAATTCAGGTGAAATTCACTCTCATCTCATATACAGTATGCTGGTATATAAAATATTGTGTGTTTGATAAAACTCTATGATGTACATGGATAAAGAAAGTCAAAATCTGCATAGAGAAGTTCTTGCAAAGCTTCAGCCAGTGTGCTGATGAACACCATTCACACAGTGAGAGTTATAGTCCCATTGCTACACTGTGAAGATTCTGCCCAGTCCTTTTTCATGATGTACTCAGACGTACTGCCATCCCCTTCTTGGAACTGCACCATAAGTCTCAATGGGGAACATTTAGTCACTTTGCACTTGATAGTCAGGTCGTCGTTGATGACCTGGACAGTACAATTGCTAGGGTGTGGCCTCTCCTCCAAGCCTTGGAAGGGGGTGGCTTTGGCTCTAGAAGATAAATTACCTGGACATACCAGCTGGTCCCTCTCTAAGGAGACCAGACCCTGTCCTCTCAAAGGCTCAGGGCCCTTACAATACACATTACTCAGGTCCTCCACCAAGTGACTGTGCTCTGCCACATAGTCATACAGATACAGCATGTGGCAGTCACAGCTCCAGGGGTTCCTGCGCAGTCTCATCACGTTCTCGCTGAAGAACGCGTCAAAGAAGCCCTGAGGAAGGGTCTGGAGTTTGTTCTCTGAGAGGTACAGCTGCTCCAAGAAGGCCTGGTCCTCAAACAGATTGGCCTTCAGAGAGCTCAGGTTGTTATTCTGCAGGTGGACGATTTCGATCTTGGTGAGACCTTGGAAGATGGTTCCCGGCAGCGATGTGAGCTGGTTCTCCGAGAGGTCTAGGTTCTGCAGGTCCGTCAGGTTCCGAAAGACGTCCTCTGGAAGGTTAGTGAGCTGGTTCATTGACAGAAACAGTTGTGTGAGACCGGTCAGATGGCCGAACGAGTCAGGCGAGAGCTGAACCAGCCTGTTGCCTTTGAGATCCAGCTTTTTCAAGCCAGAAGGAAAAGTTCCAGAGCTCACATTTGTGATCAAGTTGCTGCGAAGGTTCAGCTCCTCTAGTTTTTCTAAATGTGAAAAGACACCCTGAGGGAGGTAAGATATCTGGTTTCCCTGCAGGCAAAGCTCTTTCACGTGGGAGATGTTGAGGAAAGTGTCGGGAAAGAGGACATTGATCATATTGTAGCCCAGTTTGAGGGACTCTAGCTGGGACATGCCGCTGAGGAGCTCCTCGTCCACCCCTGTGAGCATGTTCAGGGACAGGTCAACAGCACGGATACTCAGGAGGTTCTGGAAGAGCTGCCTGGGCAGGTGGGAGATGATGTTGCCCTTCAGCTGAAGAGTCCTCAGCTTCTGGAGCGAACTGAAGAGGCCGTCACTCAGTGACTTGAACCTGTTGAAGTTGAGCAGAAGTTTGGTGAGGTTTCTCTGCTTGCTGAAGGTTCCTGGGTTCAAACAATCCAGCCAAGAGTTGCCGCTGATCTCCAGCTCCTCGAGCCCGGTCAGGCGATCGAAGGCCATGGCGGAGACGTCCCGCAGCAAGTTGTTGAAGAAGACCAGCTTGGTGAGATGGTGGCTGTACTGCATCGTGATCGGGCCCAGGTGCGTCATTCCCGTCGTCAAAATGACCAACTCCTTCACCTGTGTGGAGATGTTCATGGGCGGGCTTCTCATACTCTCCTCAGAACACATCACCTGAGTCGGCGTGAAACACTGGCATCCGGGAGGACAATTTATGTCGGAAGTGTTCCCTTGGTAACAGAGGTGCAGCATCAGGCATAACATGGGACCAAAGTCTTTCCACATTCTTCGCTGTAGAAATAGAATGGAGAGATTTGAATGAAGTGCATGTTTTAGTATATCAAATAATACCTCTGACATTGTTGTGAGTTCTTTGAGTGAGCACATTGAGTACAGTGGGGGAACACAATTCCCAAATGTACTGAGTGAAGGGAATTACAATTCAGCCATATGCTGACTGCTGATGTTGACATCAATCCTCCAGCAAAGCCTCCCTGATATTTAGCATTTCACAAAAAGTAAAGCTGTTAGCTATCCATTTGGAAGTCATAGCAGGGCTACTACTGACTGTTTGATATTCTGTTTCTTAATCTCATAATCATTAACACCAGTCATAACATACCTGTGTTTTGTGTCTGTGTTTAGAATTCCCACAAAGCAGAGGAAATAAGTTCCCTTGTGGATTTGAGGGCTGAGTCCGACTGAGTCCAACACTGTGCAAATCCACCCACAACATGCCTACATTAGTCAGGACAACCCCTTTGGCTGTTGGACAGATTCTGTCATTAAATCATTAGCTCACAGGGGACGGGGCAGTCTCCGAAATCAAATGGGGCTGCTGAGATTCAAAGTGGTTGGTATGATATACAGTAGATAAAGGGGGACCATTGTGGAGACACTCTACACTGGTTATTGGGCGCTGTACTGTGACGGCCCTCTGCTTCAACCTAATCAGCCTAGTGCATGTGTGTGTATCGGACAAGTTGGGTACAGGCAGCAGAAGAGAAATGTCCATCTTATATGGATTAATAAAGTATTATTTTGCGGTCCTCTGTAGCTCAGCTGGTAGAGCACGGCGCTTGTAACGCCAGGGTAGTGGGTTCGATCCCCTGGACCACCCATACACAAAAAAAATTATGCACACGTGACTGTAAGTCGCTTTGGATAAAAGCGTCTGCTAAATGGCACGTTATTATACCAGGCCATGTGCAAACACTTTTAACAGAGACCTTCCTAAAGCAATCAAGTGACTCGTAGTACATTGCTCATCACATTCTATTATACAGCAGAGAAGAAGAAGAACAAATAAAACCTGTTCTGATGATCATTTAAGACTTCAGTAAACCGTTACTGGACAACTGCCGTCATGGGCCCCAGCTGAATCTCTTCTGAGTTCAATTCGCCTTCAAACAGTATAAGAATAATGTGACGTCATTTAGCAGACGTACTTATCCAAAGCGACTTTACATTTTAGTCATTTAGCAGACGCTCTTATCCAGAGCGACTTACAGTTAGTGAGTGCATAAAACATTTTCATATTAGTCCCCCATGGGAATCAAACCCAGAACCCTGGCATTGCAAGCACCATGCTCTACCAACTGAGCTACAGGTGACTCCGCTGTGGACTGTGACCGTGGTTGTCCACTAAACTGTTACTGGACAACTGCCGTCATGGGCCCCAGCTGAATTTACATTTAACATTTTAGTCATTTAGCAGACGCTCTTATCCAGAGCGACTTACAGTTAGTGAGTGCATAAAACATTTTCATAATGGCCCCCCGTGGGAATCAAACCCACAACCCTGGCGTTGCAAACACCATGCTCTACCAACTGAGTGCAATTTGCCTTGGAACAGTGTAAGAATAATGTGACTTCTTACTTAAAACCTGAATTGTATTTCTTGTTGCGTCATTAGACATTATAGAATTATAGAATACTTGTTGTTTCAATGAAAAACTAAACACATTGGCTATGAACTGACAAGAATTTACTGAACATTGTTCAATAAAATGTTCCAAACAATGTTGTTCAAACCAACATTAAACGTTCAAAACAAACAATACAATGCAGATTATTCCTGTTTTGCGTGAAGGAGTTTCTCATCTGCCTTAGCAATTCAGTGAGCCAGAAAAATTAAGACAAAAAAGGATAAAACAGTTATTCACAACATCACCTTTTTAATATTCTGTGCTGACAGAATGTCTTGCTACAATATTAGAGAACTGTAGAAGTACAACAGTGACTAGTAATGCTTACAGGCTCCTTCTCCTTTCCTCTGCCCCCCTCTCAGTGCTCTCCAGAGTCCCTGGAAGCAGCCGGTTCCTCCAGCCTTCTTCCTCCCACCTGTAGCAGTGGAGAGGCTGGTGGAGGACTCTTCTCGTAGGAGAATGGTGTTTTCAGTGACCAGCACCTCGTCACTGATAGGCAGTTTATCAAGGGCCTCGCTGCACACAGCCAGAAGTGTGCCATCCTGAGGGGCCACAGAGCTCACTAGCAGCTCTCCAGGGAAGATGGAGGGAACCCCAGATGATGCTACCTCTGTATTATTGAGGTTTAACTCCTCTAGAAGGATCTGAATGGCCAGACAGATGAAGGAGTCATGTGAAGCCCAAGATGATACAGTGTCGATGCTGCTTATCGAAGCAAAGCTTCCACTGAGTGATGACGACAGGGAGGACAGGGAGCTGTAGCTGTCATATGCAGCATACTCATCACCCATGATCTTCTTGGTGAGAGAGAGCATGGTGCAATCTGGGGTCCCAGATTCTACATGGACCTCTGTTTTAGGGAGGTCCATGGCCACAAGTTGAAGTTGAATCTTGAGAAGTTCATTTTATCCCTCTGGTTCCCACATGTGAAACTCATCAAGGTAAGAAACCTTCCAGTTGTTAGGGGCGAGTCTCTCATGAAATATCCGGTCTGAAAGAAACACCATGGCAACACATAAACAAAAAGCTGGATAAGATAAATTATTTTGTCATTATACAGATGTAGGATCTTAATTTGATCACTCTTTTGTTGCTGAGAATTTTCCTGCAAGCAGGAAATGCAAACCTGTAGTGTATTTGAGTTTTAAAAAAGGTTTCTAAAGTTTGTAATTTCCACTTTGAAATTTCAGACTTGATTTGCCCTAATGAAAAATGTATCAACCCCTACAAAAATGTCCATTAATTATAATCCACATAATAATTCACATTTCCTGTTGCTGCAGGATTATTTTCCTGCTGTAGCAAACTAGCTCAAATTAAGGTCCTACATCTGTAAGTAAGGGATATCCTCATTCATGACATAGGCCTAGTTGTATACTTTCTGATTGCATCAACTGAAAAAAGTATTGACAAATATTAAGGCTATAACAGCAAATGTAAAACCTAAAATACATTTTGTATAGTTAACAACAAACACAGCCAACAGTTACCTGGGCCTACAGATGTAGGATCTTAATTTGAGCCAGTTTGCTACAGCAGGAAAATAATCCTTCATCAACTGCATATTTTAATTATTAAGTGGATTATAATTAATGGACATTTTCTGTAGGGGTTGATACATTTCTTGTTAGGGAAAATCAAGCCTGACATTTTAAAGTGGAAATTACAAACTTTAAAAGTCTTTTTAATCATTGAATTCCCTACAAGTTGGATTTCCTGCTGTACAGGAACATTCTCAGCAACATAGTGATCAAATTAATCTCTTACTAATTTCGATATGTACGATATAATTTTTTCTACACAAAATTATGTTTTCCAATGATCTTTTATAGATGTAATGTAAATGGAGAAATTCTCAACTGACATGAAGTCGTTGTCCATATTTGAAAGCTAAATCGGTCGAATTTGGGATAATAAAAAAAGTATCTTTGTAAAAGTCGCTGTCTTCATTGTAGTTGTAGAGTTATGGACTGTTCATCTCTTGAGAGTTCTGAAGGCCTACTCAAATGATTCCATTCCTGATTGTGACATCATTAGAATAAGATCACAGTGTTCTATTAATTCTATGAATAAGATTATGCGGTGATGCCCTCTCTGTCATCATGTATGGAATGATATGGCTCTGATGCCATTTGTTAGATTAGGTCTTTATGAAAGTAGGTTTGAGTGTGTTGTTTTTATGTTGTGTTGTTTTTATGTTGTGTTGTTTTTATGTTGTGTTATTTTTATGTTGTGTTGTTTTTATGTTGTGTTGTTTTTATGTTGTGTTGTTTTTATGTTGTGTTGTTTTTATGTTGTGTTGTTTTCTCACGTGCAAAAAAGGGCTATAAAGGTTTCACTCATTGCCTTCATTCAAGACCAAATACCTGATAGACTTAGCCTACCATTGGAAACTATTTTTTTCTGTCAAGTCATTGGTAGCCTACGACTATATTTTCTTGCTCAACTAAAGAAAGCATTTTGATAATTAAATAAAAGAAATAAAAACCTGTAAAAAAAAAAGGAAAAAAACTGTGTCACTCCTCATTGTGCCCTCTAAAATAAGGACAAAAAAACTTCCACTAGGCAGCAATACAACCCTTGTCCAAAATGAATGGAATTCCAGGACATTCCTTCATGTGGCCCCAAAGGATGCGCTGTGTGTAGACTAAATCAGGGAGGTACTGCCGGGGTGTCCGAGAAAAAACTAAAAACTAATCTACATATATATATATACACTATCAGTCAAAAGTTTGGACACACCTACTCATTCAAGGGTTTTTTGGTTGCTACATGATTCCATATGTGTTATTTCACAGTTTTGATGTCTTCACTATTATTCTACAATGTAGAAAATAGTAAAAATAAATAAAAACTCTTGAATGAGTAGGTGTGTCCAAACTTTTGACTTTATACAGTGAGGGAAAAAAGTATTTGATCCCCTGCTGATTTTGTACGTTTGCCCACTGACAAAGAAATGATCAGTCTATCATTTTAATGGTAGGTTTATTTGAACAGTGGGAGACAGAATAACAACAACAAAATTCAGAAAAACGCATATGAAAAATGTTATAAATTGATTTGCATTTTAATGAGGGAAATTAGTATTTGACCCCCTCTCAATCAGAAAGATTTCTGGCTCCCAGGTGTCTTTTCTACAGGTAACGAGCTGAGATTAGGAGCACACTCTTAAAGGGAGTGCTCCTAATCTCAGCTTGTTACCTGTATAAAAGACACCTGTCCACAGAAGCAATCAATCAGATTCCAAACTCTCCACCATGGCCAAGACCAAAGAGCTCTCCAAGGATGTCAGGGACAAGATTGTAGATCTACACAAGGCTGGAATGGGCTACAAGACCATCGCCAAGCAGCTTGGTGAGAAGGTGACAACAGTTGGTGCGATTATTCGCAAATGGAAGAAACACAAAATAACTGTCAATCTCCCTCGGCCTGGGGCTCCATGCAAGATCTCACCTCGTGGAGTTGCAATGATCATGAGAACGGTGAGGAATCAGCCCAGAACTACACGGGAGGATCTTGTCAATGATCTCAAGGCAGCTGGGACCATAGTCACCAAGAAAACAATTGGTAACACACTACGCCGTGAAGGACTGAAATCCTGCAGCGCCCGCAAGGTCCCCCTGCTCAAGAAAGCACATATACAGGCCCATCTGAAGTTTGCCAATGAACATCTGAATGATTCAGAGGAGAACTGGGTGAAAGTGTTGTGGTCAGATGAGACCAAAATCGAGCTCTTTGGCGTCAACTCAACTAGCCGTGTTTGGAGGAGGAGGAATGCTGCCTAAGACCCCAAGAACACCATCCCTACCGTCAAACATGGAGGTGGAAACATTATGCTTTGGGGGTGTTTTTCTGCTAAGGGGACAGGACAACTTCACCGCATCAAAGGGACGATGGACGGGGCCATGTACCGTCAAATCTTGGGTGAGAACTTCCTTCCCTCAGCCAGGGCATTGAAAATGGGTCGTGATGGGTATTCCAGCACGACAATGACCCAAAACACACGGCCAAGGCAACAAAGGAGTGGCTCAAGAAGAAGCACATTAAGGTCCTGAAGTGACCTAGCCAGTCTCCAGACCTTAATCCCATAGAAAATCTGTGGAGGGAGCTGAAGGTTCGAGTTGCCAAACGTCAGCCTCGAAACCTTAATGACTTGGAGAAGATCTGCAAAGAGGAGTGGGACAAAATCCCTCCTGAGATGTGTGCAAACCTGGTGGCCAACTACAAGAAACGTCTGACCTCTGTGATTGCCAACAAGGGTTTTGCCACCAAGTACTAAGTCATGTTTTGCAGAGGGGTCAAATACTTATTTCCCTCATTAAAATGCAAATCAATTTATAACATTTTTTACATGCGTTTTTCTGGATTATTTTTGTTGGTATTCTGTCTCTCACTGTTCAAATAAACCTACCATTAAAATTGTAGACTGATCATTTATTTGTCAGTGGGCAACCGTACAAAATCAGCAGGGGATCAAATACTTTTTTCCCTCACTGTATATATAAAGTTGAAATGATATCCCCCCCAATGTTTTTATGAATATCGCTAGCAACAACCGAATAAACACATTCTGAATAACATAGACTACCTACAGTAGAAAAGAGGAGAGTATCTTCTTTCTAATGATGTCAACTTTATTTCTCAATCCTAATATTGAGCAAATTACACTAATTGAAGCCAATTCCACTCACTGGAGTATCTGACATAGGCTTTGAAAAAGCACCTGCGAATAGGATACCAGTTCCGCTGAATGCTGGTAAGCTTTCTTAACTTCCATATACATTTTTGCCAACACATGGCTAACCTTTGTTTAACCAGCTAAACAGCTGCTCTTACCGAAAATGTGTTTGGAGTTCCCTTTCTAGCTAATAGGCTATGTTAGAGTTTTTGTTGCATATCAACAGAGTTACCGTCTACTACGTCTAAACTAGTGTCTTTATGTTTGAGAATCTAATTTACAGTAACAGTGGTGCTGAAAAGCTTGAGTAAACTTAAGGAACATGGCCAGTGAAGTCAATGGAGGAATAGAGTCATCTGCTGGCAAGAGCATACGTTGATATATCTGTTAGTAAATGATTGTGTGGATGGTACTAGGTTCATTACACGGTCTCTAGAACTCTAGGGATGAACTTTGAACCGCACAAGAAATAGTTCATCCACCTCTCTTATCTCTCAGCTATGAGTGGGAAACACCGTCAGCCTGGTTATCAGCTTTGAGATGAGTTAAAGGTCTGTACAATATTGACACTAGCTGTAGGAGAGATTTGTTTAAACTCATACCAATACTGGTAGACATCGTATTATAAATTATTCAAAGCCAATACCTTCAAAATTATATGAAATTCAGGTGAAATTCACTCTCATCTCATATACAGTATGTTGGTATATAAAATATTGTGTGTTTGATAAAACTCTATGATGTACATGGATAAAGAAAGTCAAAATCTGCATAGAGAAGTTCTTGCAAAGCTTCAGCCAGTGTGCTGATGAACACCATTCACACAGTGAGAGTTATAGTCCCATTGCTACACTGTGAAGATTCTGCCCAGTCCTTTTTCATGATGTACTCAGACGTACTGCCATCCCCTTCTTGGAACTGCACCATAAGTCTCAATGGGGAACATTTAGTCACTTTGCACTTGATAGTCAGGTCGTCGTTGATGACCTGGACAGTACAATTGCTAGGGTGTGGCCTCTCCTCCAAGCCTTGGAAGGGGGTGGCTTTGGCTCTAGAAGATAAATTACCTGGACATACCAGCTGGTCCCTCTCTAAGGAGACCAGACCCTGTCCTCTCAAAGGCTCAGGGCCCTTACAATACACATTACTCAGGTCCACCACCAAGTGACTGTGCTCTGCCACATAGTCATACAGATACAGCATGTGGCAGTCACAGCTCCAGGGGTTCCTGCGCAGTCTCATCACGTTCTCGCTGAAGAACGCGTCAAAGAAGCCCTGAGGAAGGGTCTGGAGTTTGTTCTCTGAGAGGTACAGTTCCTGGGTTCAAACAATCCAGCCAAGAGTTGCCGCTGATCTCCAGCTCCTCGAGCCCGGTCAGGCGATCGAAGGCCATGGCGGAGACGTCCCGCAGCAAGTTGTTGAAGAAGACCAGCTTGGTGAGATGGTGGCTGTACTGCATCGTGATCGGGCCCAGGTGCGTCATTCCCGTCGTCAAAATGACCAACTCCTTCACCTGTGTGGAGATGTTCATGGGCGGGCTTCTCATACTCTCCTCAGAACACATCACCTGAGTCGGCGTGAAACACTGGCATCCGGGAGGACAATTTATGTCGGAAGTGTTCCCTTGGTAACAGAGGTGCAGCATCAGGCATAACATGGGACCAAAGTCTTTCCACATTCTTCGCTGTAGAAATAGAATGGAGAGATTTGAATGAAGTGCATGTTTTAGTATATCAAATAATACCTCTGACATTGTTGTAAGTTCTTTGAGTGAGCACATTGAGTACAGTGGGGGAACACAATTCCCAAATGTACTGAGTGAAGGGAATTACAATTCAGCCATATGCTGACTGCTGATGTTGACATCAAGCCTCCAGCAAAGCCTCCCTGATATTTAGCATTTCACAAAAAGTAAAGCTGTTAGCTATCCATTTGGAAGTCATAGCAGGGCTACTACTGACTGTTTGATATTCTGTTTCTTAATCTCATAATCATTAACACCAGTCATAACATACCTGTGTTTTGTGTCTGTGTTTAGAATTCCCACAAAGCAGAGGAAATAAGTTCCCTTGTGGATTTGAGGGCTGAGTCCGACTGAGTCCAACACTGTGCAAATCCACCCACAACATGCCTACATTAGTCAGGACAACCCCTTTGGCTGTTGGACAGATTCTGTCATTAAATCATTAGCTCACAGGGGACGGGGCAGTCTCCGAAATCAAATGGGGCTGCTGAGATTCAAAGTGGTTGGTATGATATACAGTAGATAAAGGGGGACCATTTTGGAGACACTCTACACTGGTTATTGGGCGCTGTACTGTGACGGCCCTCTGCTTCAACCTAATCAGCCTAGTGCATGTGTGTGTATCGGACAAGTTGGGTACAGGCAGCAGAACAGAAATGGCCATCTTATATGGATTAATAAAGTATTATTTTGTGGTCCTCTGTAGCTCAGCTGGTAGAGCACGGCGCTTGTAACGCCAGGGTAGTGGGTTCGATCCCCGGGACCACCCATACACAAAAAAAATTATGCACACGTGACTGTAAGTCGCTTTGGATAAAAGCGTCTGCTAAATGGCACGTTATTATACCAGGCCATGTGCAAACACTTTTAACAGAGACCTTCCTAAAGCAATCAAGTGACTCGTAGTACATTGCTCATCACATTCTATTATACAGCAGAGAAGAAGAAGAACAAATAAAACCTGTTCTGATGATCATTTAAGACTTCAGTAAACCGTTACTGGACAACTGCCGTCATGGGCCCCAGCTGAATCTCTTCTGAGTTCAATTCGCCTTCAAACAGTATAAGAATAATGTGACGTCATTTAGCAGACGTACTTATCCAAAGCGACTTTACATTTTAGTCATTTAGCAGACGCTCTTATCCAGAGCGACTTACAGTTAGTGAGTGCATAAAACATTTTCATATTAGTCCCCCATGGGAATCAAACCCAGAACCCTGGCATTGCAAGCACCATGCTCTACCAACTGAGCTACAGGTGACTCCGCTGTGGACTGTGACCGTGGTTGTCCACTAAACTGTTACTGGACAACTGCCGTCATGGGCCCCAGCTGAATTTACATTTAACATTTTAGTCATTTAGCAGACGCTCTTATCCAGAGCGACTTACAGTTAGTGAGTGCATAAAACATTTTCATAATGGCCCCCCGTGGGAATCAAACCCACAACCCTGGCGTTGCAAACACCATGCTCTACCAACTGAGTGCAATTTGCCTTGGAACAGTGTAAGAATAATGTGACTTCTTACTTAAAACCTGAATTGTATTTATTGTTGCGTCATTAGACATTATAGAATTATAGAATACTTGTTGTTTCAATGAAAAACGAAACACATTGGCTTTGAACTGACAAGAATTTACTGAACATTGTTCAATAAAATGTTCCAAACAATGTTGTTCAAACCAACATTAAACGTTCAAAACAAACAATACAATGCAGATTATTCCTGTTTTGCGTGAAGGAGTTTCTCATCTGCCTTAGCAATTCAGTGAGCCTGAAAAATTAAGACAAAAAAGGATAAAACAGTTGTTCACAACATCACCTTTTTAATATTCTGTGCTGACAGAATGTCTTGCTACAATATTAGAGAACTGTAAAAGTACAACAGTGACTAGTAATGCTTACAGGCTCCTTCTCCTTTCCTCTGCCCCCTCTCAGTGCTCTCCAGAGTCCCTGGAAGCAGCCGGTTCCTCCAGCCTTCTTCCTCCCACCTGTAGCAGTGGAGAGGCTGGTGGAGGACTCTTCTCGTAGGAGAATGGTGTTTTCAGTGACCAGCACCTCGTCACTGATAGGCAGTTTATCAAGGGCCTCGCTGCACACAGCCAGAAGTGTGCCATCCTGAGGGGCCACAGAGCTCACTAGCAGCTCTCCAGGGAAGATGGAGGGAACCCCAGATGATGCTACCTCTGTATTATTGAGGTTTAACTCCTCTAGAAGGATCTGAATGGCCAGACAGATGAAGGAGTCATGTGAAGCCCAAGATGATACAGTGTCGATGCTGCTTATCGAAGCAAAGCTTCCACTGAGTGATGACGACAGGGAGGACAGGGAGCTGTAGCTGTCATATGCAGCATACTCATCACCCATGATCTTCTTGGTGAGAGAGAGCATGGTGCAATCTGGGGTCCCAGATTCTACATGGACCTCTGTTTTAGGGAGGTCCATGGCCACAAGTTGAAGTTGAATCTTGAGAAGTTCATTTTATCCCTCTGGTTCCCACATGTGAAACTCATCAAGGTAAGAAACCTTCCAGTTGTTAGGGGCGAGTCTCTCATGAAATATCCGGTCTGAAAGAAACACCATGGCAACACATAAACAAAAAGCTGGATAAGATAAATTATTTTGTCATTATACAGATGTAGGATCTTAATTTGATCACTCTTTTGTTGCTGAGAATTTTCCTGCAAGCAGGAAATGCAAACCTGTAGTGTATTTGAGTTTTAAAAAAGGTTTCTAAAGTTTGTAATTTCCACTTTGAAATTTCAGACTTGATTTGCCCTAATGAAAAATGTATCAACCCCTACAAAAATGTCCATTAATTATAATCCACATAATAATTCACATTTCCTGTTGCTGCAGGATTATTTTCCTGCTGTAGCAAACTAGCTCAAATTAAGGTCCTACATCTGTAAGTAAGGGATATCCTCATTCATGACATAGGCCTAGTTGTATACTTTCTGATTGCATCAACTGAAAAAAGTATTGACAAATATTAAGGCTATAACAGCAAATGTAAAACCTAAAATACATTTTGTATAGTTAACAACAAACACAGCCAACAGTTACCTGGGCCTACAGATGTAGGATCTTAATTTGAGCCAGTTTGCTACAGCAGGAAAATAATCCTTCATCAACTGCATATTTTAATTATTAAGTGGATTATAATTAATGGACATTTTCTGTAGGGGTTGATACATTTCTTGTTAGGGAAAATCAAGCCTGACATTTTAAAGTGGAAATTACAAACTTTAAAAGTCTTTTTAATCATTGAATTCCCTACAAGTTGGATTTCCTGCTGTACAGGAACAGTCTCAGCAACATAGTGATCAAATTAATCTCTTACTAATTTCGATATGTACGATATAATTTTTTCTACACAAAATTATGTTTTCCAATGATCTTTTATAGATGTAATGTAAATGGAGAAATTCTCAACTGACATGAAGTCGTTGTCCATATTTGAAAGCTAAATCGGTCGAATTTGGGATAATAAAAAAAGTATCTTTGTAAAAGTCGCTGTCTTCATTGTAGTTGTAGAGTTATGGACTGTTCATCTCTTGAGAGTTCTGAAGGCCTACTCAAATGATTCCATTCCTGATTGTGACATCATTAGAATAAGATCACAGTGTTCTATTAATTCTATGAATAAGATTATGCGGTGATGCCCTCTCTGTCATCATGTATGGAATGATATGGCTCTGATGCCATTTGTTAGATTAGGTCTTTATGAAAGTAGGTTTGAGTGTGTTGTTTTTATGTTGTGTTGTTTTTATGTTGTGTTGTTTTTATGTTGTGTTATTTTTATGTTGTGTTGTTTTTATGTTGTGTTGTTTTTATGTTGTGTTGTTTTTATGTTGTGTTGTTTTTATGTTGTGTTGTTTTCTCACGTGCAAAAAAGGGCTATAAAGGTTTCACTCATTGCCTTCATTCAAGACCAAATACCTGATAGACTTAGCCTACCATTGGAAACTATTTTTTTCTGTCAAGTCATTGGTAGCCTACGACTATATTTTCTTGCTCAACTAAAGAAAGCATTTTGATAATTAAATAAAAGAAATAAAAACCTGTAAAAAAAAAAGGAAAAAAAACTGTGTCACTCCTCATTGTGCCCTCTAAAATAAGGACAAAAAAACTTCCACTAGGCAGCAATACAACCCTTGTCCAAAATGAATGGAATTCCAGGACATTCCTTCATGTGGCCCCAAAGGATGCGCTGTGTGTAGACTAAATCAGGGAGGTACTGCCGGGGTGTCCGAGAAAAAACTAAAAACTAATCTACATATATATATATACACTATCAGTCAAAAGTTTGGACACACCTACTCATTCAAGGGTTTTTTTGGTTGCTACATGATTCCATATGTGTTATTTCACAGTTTTGATGTCTTCACTATTATTCTACAATGTAGAAAATAGTAAAAATAAATAAAAACTCTTGAATGAGTAGGTGTGTCCAAACTTTTGACTTTATACAGTGAGGGAAAAAAGTATTTGATCCCCTGCTGATTTTGTACGTTTGCCCACTGACAAAGAAATGATCAGTCTATCATTTTAATGGTAGGTTTATTTGAACAGTGGGAGACAGAATAACAACAACAAAATTCAGAAAAACGCATATGAAAAATGTTATAAATTGATTTGCATTTTAATGAGGGAAATTAGTATTTGACCCCCTCTCAATCAGAAAGATTTCTGGCTCCCAGGTGTCTTTTCTACAGGTAACGAGCTGAGATTAGGAGCACACTCTTAAAGGGAGTGCTCCTAATCTCAGCTTGTTACCTGTATAAAAGACACCTGTCCACAGAAGCAATCAATCAGATTCCAAACTCTCCACCATGGCCAAGACCAAAGAGCTCTCCAAGGATGTCAGGGACAAGATTGTAGATCTACACAAGGCTGGAATGGGCTACAAGACCATCGCCAAGCAGCTTGGTGAGAAGGTGACAACAGTTGGTGCGATTATTCGCAAATGGAAGAAACACAAAATAACTGTCAATCTCCCTCGGCCTGGGGCTCCATGCAAGATCTCACCTCGTGGAGTTGCAATGATCATGAGAACGGTGAGGAATCAGCCCAGAACTACACGGGAGGATCTTGTCAATGATCTCAAGGCAGCTGGGACCATAGTCACCAAGAAAACAATTGGTAACACACTACGCCGTGAAGGACTGAAATCCTGCAGCGCCCGCAAGGTCCCCCTGCTCAAGAAAGCACATATACAGGCCCATCTGAAGTTTGCCAATGAACATCTGAATGATTCAGAGGAGAACTGGGTGAAAGTGTTGTGGTCAGATGAGACCAAAATCGAGCTCTTTGGCGTCAACTCAACTAGCCGTGTTTGGAGGAGGAGGAATGCTGCCTAAGACCCCAAGAACACCATCCCTACCGTCAAACATGGAGGTGGAAACATTATGCTTTGGGGGTGTTTTTCTGCTAAGGGGACAGGACAACTTCACCGCATCAAAGGGACGATGGACGGGGCCATGTACCGTCAAATCTTGGGTGAGAACTTCCTTCCCTCAGCCAGGGCATTGAAAATGGGTCGTGATGGGTATTCCAGCACGACAATGACCCAAAACACACGGCCAAGGCAACAAAGGAGTGGCTCAAGAAGAAGCACATTAAGGTCCTGAAGTGACCTAGCCAGTCTCCAGACCTTAATCCCATAGAAAATCTGTGGAGGGAGCTGAAGGTTCGAGTTGCCAAACGTCAGCCTCGAAACCTTAATGACTTGGAGAAGATCTGCAAAGAGGAGTGGGACAAAATCCCTCCTGAGATGTGTGCAAACCTGGTGGCCAACTACAAGAAACGTCTGACCTCTGTGATTGCCAACAAGGGTTTTGCCACCAAGTACTAAGTCATGTTTTGCAGAGGGGTCAAATACTTATTTCCCTCATTAAAATGCAAATCAATTTATAACATTTTTTACATGCGTTTTTCTGGATTATTTTTGTTGGTATTCTGTCTCTCACTGTTCAAATAAACCTACCATTAAAATTGTAGACTGATCATTTATTTGTCAGTGGGCAACCGTACAAAATCAGCAGGGGATCAAATACTTTTTTCCCTCACTGTATATATAAAGTTGAAATGATATCCCCCCCAATGTTTTTATGAATATCGCTAGCAACAACCGAATAAACACATTCTGAATAACATAGACTACCTACAGTAGAAAAGAGGAGAGTATCTTCTTTCTAATGATGTCAACTTTATTTCTCAATCCTAATATTGAGCAAATTACACTAATTGAAGCCAATTCCACTCACTGGAGTATCTGACATAGGCTTTGAAAAAGCACCTGCGAATAGGATACCAGTTCCGCTGAATGCTGGTAAGCTTTCTTAACTTCCATATACATTTTTGCCAACACATGGCTAACCTTTGTTTAACCAGCTAAACAGCTGCTCTTACCGAAAATGTGTTTGGAGTTCCCTTTCTAGCTAATAGGCTATGTTAGAGTTTACACTTCCTCCAATGATAATGTGGGTAGGTCAAAATAATGAAAAAACGATCTCCAAAATCTATTCATTTTAAAATGTTGATTAGCCTACTTCTCCTTGCTATTTTCATTCACCAGGTGATAAGACAAGATATGTGAGAAAAAACGTATGATGGGATCCCCCTGGGTCGCCGGTTTGCCTGGAGGGGGTCCCTGGGCAAGAAAAGTTTGAAGACCCCTGGACTAAATGACTAAATGAAAACTACACCTTTACCAGAGCGCCAAACAAGGGCAGGTTGACGTTAATTTGGATTATTCTTGTCCTGGAGGCAGAACAGAGCGATTTCCGCTAGATGGGACAGCTGAAAAGTCAAAGTTGTCTATTATTGTAAAAATTATTGAAAACTAAAATGAGCTTTTTGGTCTTGATTTAAGGTTAAGGTTAGGCATTAGGGTTAGCAGTGTGGTTAGGGTTAAGGTTATGGTTAGGGTAAGGTTTAAAATCAGATTTTATGACTTTGTGGCTGTGCCATCTAGTGACCACTCTGCAGAGCTGCCTCCAGAAGAAGATTCATGACAAAAAACGCTAAACTGCCAACCAAACTCGGACAGATATATAAAAGATTTTCTAATATATTCACAAGAAAGTCAAGTGACCGCTCCAATAATGGAAAATACATGTCCTCAAAGATGGAGGCAGTCGGGAGGAGGCAAGATCAAGTGGGACCATTCTAGGCAATGGGAGGGCAGATACGCGTGTGAATGGGCACAACTCCGATATATAATCATTTTTTTCCAAGTTGCCGAAATGCCACGTGCGTCCACTTAAATCAGTGCATTCGTAACAACCTAACCATTACGAAACTTATATTCGATCAAATAAGCCTCTCGTAGCAAATTAGCAATTCAATGTTTTATTGACCAAATTCGACACTCTCTCATTGATAAAAAAAAATATATATGTATTTTCGTGGACAGATTTTGGGCGGAGTCAACCCTCTCGCTTCGTCTCTTCCTCTCTGGCTATACCTGAAGTTACTAGGACCCTTCTGGAATTTGGGATTTTATGTGGATTTGATCTGCATACTGAGTGGACCCAATTGATCTCTTCTATATTATTGAGGGTTTATCTTTCATTTATTCACCATTTATTTAGTGAAATGGCAAACGCGGGGATACAGCTCCTTGGATTCGTCTTGTCTTTTCTTGGCTTCATCGGGTTGATAGCATCCACGATCATGGCCGAGTGGAAACTGTCATCCTATGCTGGGGACAACATCATAACGGCGCAAGCCATGTACGAAGGGCTTTGGAAGTCCTGTGTATCGCAGAGCACTGGTCAAATCCAGTGTAAAGTGTACGATTCACTGCTCCAACTAACGGGTAATTTCTTACTTTAATTAATTTTTATGGATATGCTTTACAGTAACTATACAAACAATTATAAACGACTTGTTTCATGATTCAAAACTTAGTACCAGAAGGCTTATAAATTAATCCACATCTGTAAAGTGTTAATAAAATAAATGAATCTAATCCATTTACCTTTGAAAACATGCATGAGCCTACAATAGACTAAGTGAGGTTTAAGAACGTATCGCCCCCGTTCTACAGAAGATATCATGCATGTACAGACAAGTCTTGAGAATGCCAAGGCTAACCATCATGCCTGCTACTCATGGTAACAGAGGAAAACACACGAGCTCCATCTACACTAGGTGTAAAACCCAACCCCATTGTGCGCCAGTGTCTGATACAATGGAACTCTGAAGTCAATATCAAGTCAAAATCCAATTTCTTAGCAAATGTTTGAAAAATGTTATATTGAAGCAATAATGTCCGAGGGTGTGTGGTACACTATATGGCCAATATACCACGGCTAAGGGCTGTTCTTATGCACGAGGCATCGTGGAGTGCCTGGATACAGTCCTTAGCTGTGGTATATTGGAAATATACCACAAACCACAGAGGTGCCTTATTGCTATTATAAACTGGTTACCAACTTAATTAGAGCAGTAAAAATAAATGTTTTGTCATACCCCTGGTATATGGTCTGATATACCACAGCTGTCAGCCAATCAGCATTCAGGGCTCGAACCACCCAGTTTATAATTTACATTCAGCATTTTCCTCATCAATTGAACCTGCATTTTTCACATTCAAGGTGATGAGACGGTTTAATACATCTGCATTCCTACCCAATTATCCCCTTTATATTATAAATGTATTAGCTCTGAATACATTGAGAATATTACATTCTTTAGGCAATCTGACGTTATTTAGGAGCTAGGCTATATGCAGGCCCTATGACATATGTAATAACATAGTGATGACATAATCATTAAAGATCAAATATGAAATTCTGTTATTGATTGATTGTGTCTTCTGTCCCTCCTCTTGACCCCAGGGCTGGTGCAGGGCACGCGAGGTCTCATGGTGGGTGCCATCCTGCTGGCTGGCATTGCCATCCTGATGGCCATGGTGGGCATGAAGTGTACCACCTGTCTGGCTGAGAACCAGGAGCAGAAGGGCAAAGTTGCCCTGACCGGAGGAATCCTCATCATTATCGCAGGTGGGGTTTATAGTCCACACAGTACCATGCAATAGATCTTTATTAAACTATTTGCATGAAAATTGTTCTTCTTTTTTTGTTTGTTGCTGAAACACTTCCCAACTTGACACACCAAAGAGTGTGTTATACAAAGCTGTTGACTAAAGCAAAACCACACTGGAAGTCAGGCTAACTAGTAGTTAGTACCTCACCCAAGTGTAAAAAATAGTAGGGGGTATTTACTTTTGTTTCCCCTGCCTACCCTATAATTTCATACTGCAAATAATTTTTCAACCAGATTCTTTCTACATCAATATCTATTGATGATTTTTCCTATGATGTTGTTGTCCTCCTGTCGCTTAGGTCTGTGTGCTCTGGTGGGGACTTCCTGGTACGGGAACAGAATAGCAAAGGAATTCTACGACCCCTTCACCCCTACAAATTCCAGGTGTGCTGTCATCATCATTTTGACAGGGGACTAAGAAGGCTTTGTTTGTCTTCGGGGAGAATCCTAACCTAGCTGGGTTTTGCGTAAAATATACAATATATTACGATTGTGTGAATATTATAGTTACGCAATATTTCAAGTTTGCAGTTGTGCCTCTATACATAACTTACCATCATCTATGTTTAGTTCTTGATTGATATTGTTATTGAAATGTCTATCTGCAGGTATGAGTTTGGCAAGGCCCTGTTCGTAGGATGGGGCTCTGCCTGCCTCACCATCATAGGTGGAGCCTTCCTCTGTTGCAACTGCACCAGTAAAGGTTCAGGGAAGTCGTCCCGCTACCCCACGAACCACTCCGCTGCCCCGCCTGGCAGAGACTACGTCTAGAGCCTGGGGAGATCCAGGAGACCAGGGTCATGTTCATTAGGGCAGATGTTTCAAAATGTTGTGCAACGGAAAACGAAAACGAGCCTTTACTTACTGGTCAGGTAGTGCCTCCCCGTTTCACTCCATTTCAGTCCGTTTTCCTCTGTTTTGTGCTGAACATGACCCACCTCCATCCATCCACTCTCTGTTCAGGGTACAGCACTGCCTAGGGTCAAAGCTGGGGTAATTGTTGTTGATTTGATGGTTGGTTTGGTTTGATGCATGATTTCTGGCATTTTCATTTCTGGTTGTTTTACCATAAGACACTTACGTGATGCATGCATATAGTCCTATATTACTATTTTCACACTATCGATTCAGCCCAAACTGTACTGTGCTGGCTCTGATATTTTCTTTTCACACCGTTCACGATTCCAGCAACTATGGTGGATGCGTAACGAGGACAGCGCTGTTCAGCTCTGCCCCGCTTAGCTCGGCTCAGTAGTGTGAAAATGGTATTCGTGTGTAGTTTGAGATGTACAGTACATTCAGAAAGTATTCAGACCCCTTGACCTTTTCCACATTTTGTTACGTTACAGCCTTATTCTAAAATGGATTAAATTGTTTTTTCCCCCTCATCAATCTACACACAATACCCCATAATGACAAAGCAAAAACAGGTTTTTAGACATTTCTGCAAAAAAATACAAATACTAAAGTGGAAATATCACATTTACAAGTATTCAGATCCTTTACTCAGTACTTTGTTGAAGCACCTTTGGCAGGAATTACAGCCTTGAGTCTTCTTGGGTATGACGCTACAAGCTTGGCACACCTGTATTTGGGGAGTTTGTCCCATTCTTCTCTGCAGATCCTCTCAAGCTCTGTCAGGTTAGATGGGGAGCGTCGCTGCACAGCTATTTTCAGGTCTCTCCAGAAAGGTTTGATCGGGTTCAAGTCCGGGCTCTGGCTGGGCCACTCAAGGACATTCATTGGAAGGTGAACCTTCGCCCCAGTCTGAGGTCCTGAGCGCTCTGGAACAGGTTTTCATCAAGGATCTCTCTGTACTTTGCTCCGATAATCTTTCCCTCAATCCTGACTAGTCTCCCAGTCCCTCCTGCTGACAAACATCCCCACAGCATGATGCTGCCACCACCATGCTTCACCATAGCGATGGTGCCAGGTTTCCTCCAGACGTGACGCTTGGCATTCAGGCATCTTGGTTTCATCAGACCAGAGAATCTTGTTTCTCATGGTCTGAGTCCTTTAGGTGCCTTTTGGCAAACACCAAGCGGGCTGTCATGTGCTTTTTACTGAGGAGTGGCTTCCGTCAGGCCACTCTACCACAAAGGCCTGATTGGTGGAGTGCTGCAGAGATGGTTGTCCTTCTGGACGGTTCTCCCATCTCCACAGAGGAACTCAGGAGCTCTGTCAGAGTGACCATGGGGTTCTTGGTCACCTCCCTGACCAAGGCCCTTCTCCCCTGATTGCTCAGTTTTGCTGGCCGGCCAGCTCTAGGAAGAGGCTTGGTGGTTCCAAACTTCTTCCATTTAAGAATGATGGAGGCCACTGTGTTCTTGGGGACCTTCAATGCTGCATACATTTTTTGGTACCCTTCACCAGATCTGTGCCTCAACACAATCCTCTCTCGCAGCTCTACGGACAATTCCTTCGACCTCATGGCTTGGTTTTTGCTCTGAAATGCACTGTCAACTGTGGGACCTTATATAGACAGGAGCCTTTCCAAATCATGTCCAATCAATTGAATTTACCACAGGTGGACTCCAATCAAGTTGTAGAAACATCTCAAGGATGATCAATGGAAACAGGATGCACCTGAGCTCAATTTCGAGTCTCATAGCAAAGGGTCTGAATACTTATGTAAATAAGATATTTAGTTTTTTGCAAAAATTTCTAAAAACCTGTTTTCACTTTGTCATTATGGGGTATTGTGTGTAGATTGATGTGAGAGAAAAAATAATTTTATCCATTTTAGAATAAGGCTGTAACGTAACAAAATGTTGTGAGCAGTATATTCGCAAAAATGCACTTAAATATAGTGGCGTAAAGTAGTTAAGTAAAAAATACTTAGAAGTACTACTTATATACTATTTATATTTTTGACAACTTTTACTTCACTACATTCCTAAAGAAAAGAATGTACTTTTTACCCAAAAGTACTCGCTACCTTTTTAATGCCTAGCAGGACAGGAAAATGGTCAAATTCACGCACTTATCAAGAGAACATCCCTGGTCATTCCTACTGCCTCTGTTCGGGCGGACTCACTAAACACAAATGCTGAGTGTTGGAGTGTGCCTCTGGCTATCCCAAAAAATTAAATAAAAAATAATACAATTGTGCCGTTTGGTTTGCTTAATATAAGCAATTTGAAGTGATTTATACTTTTGCTTTTGATAAATAAGTATAATTAAAACCACATATCCCGTGTAGCTCAGTTGGTAGAGCATGGCGTTTGCAACACCAGGATTGTGGGTTCGTTTCCCACGGGGACCAGTATGAAAAAAAAAAATTATGCACTCACTAACTGTAAGTTGCTCTGGATAAGAGCGTCTGCTAAAATGTAAATACTTTTAGACTTTTACTCAAGTAGTATTTTACTGGGTGACTTACTTGAGTCATTTTCTATTAAGGTATATTTACTTTTACTCAAGTATGACAATTGGGTACTTTTCCACCACTGCTGAAATATAAATGTGATTTATTTTACTGTGCAAGAGTGGGTTAGAATATTACCAAAAATAAACAGAATTGGGTGGTTACTATACTTTTATACTATCTTTTTATGTAAGAGTTTACCTAAATAGTTTTGTTTACATTGTATTTTCTGAGTTGCATCAAATGAGGTCCCATTTTTTTAACCAGCTTTTGATAAGTTCTGTGTGATAATAGACAAATAAACTTGCTGTTGTTTTAAAGGTAAGTGTTTATAATAGTTTTGATATGGGATGTTTTTTTGCCTGTGTTATCACAGTATAGCTTTTTCATTCATTTAGAGGTCAGGTAAATGCATATTTAGATAGTGCGTAACACAGTAACTAAGTTAGATGTATAGTTCTCCTCTCCTGCCTCTAGTTAGCTCCTGTGTTTTATTTTGAAAAGGGACTTGTCTCGACTTGACGTGTGCTGATATACCTCGGGCCTGCAGTAACACGCCTTTGAGGGTCTTAAAACATTTGAGAGGAATTTCTAGAAAATAATTTATATTTAAAAATCAACATTGAATTTTCAATAGATATGAACATGTATATCCCACTCGCAATGATGTGTTATTATTGATAATATTCATGTTTATTTAACTGTATCCAAACTTAAGACTAAAACTAGTGAAATAAAGAATAAACATTCTCATCCTTGATGTTCCGACATGCATACTGTAGGCAAAACCTTTACTCTTCTCCAAGGATATCATACGTAACTTTCTTCTAGATACTATCTTTAGAATGGGTTTCAATACAGTCATTGGTTTCAATAAACAATCCTTAACGGTAAAATGTGTAGCCCCAGGGTTATGATTTCACGGCACTGTGGAGTGACTAAACCAAAAGGCATTCTTCATATCTCCAACAACCTGCCTTTACATGCTCCTGGAACCTTCTCTCTGCTGGGAGTGGGAGTTGTCCTCTGAATTTAGCCGCAGCCATCCAATGTCACCCTTATTCACCGTATCCACCCATGTTAGAGTTAAATCCACTGACACAACTTTCCTTATGTTAGAGCAGGTAATTATAGTGAAATGACTAAAGTGATATAAAAAGAGATTGTTGTGAGTTTTCTATTGAAATAATGCTGTGTAAGTTCTTAGCACTATCGATAGGCTAGTGTTTAAACCCTGAGTTGAGTTTTCCAGTTGCAGCTGTCATAATTGTGCCTCTTTACCTGTCCAGTACAACAGTATAAGAGCTATAAAGCAAGCGCACATGAACTGAATCATCCTCCTTGCCAATTTTGGATCTGGATCTGAAGGGGGTCACAAGAACAGATCAGATTGGCTATAGACCAATCCAGAAACAACGCCTAGCTCCAGGGCCCTAGCTCCTATGTACTTCTTAGAGATCTGGTATAAGCAATTAGTTAGCTTTAACTTCATAGGTGGAATGCTAGCCATATTTCTCAAACCCATCTATTCCTTTCAAATCTACTAAGGTGGTTGGGGGCTGCGGCTAGAGGGGTGGTTTATGAACCACACAAAGGTTTTCTCTTTTGCACTGATTCCTTAGTAGACAGCACCACTCTCTGACGCCACCTAGAATTTATGTTTAGTATTGTACTGGATGTTCATTGTTCATCAGGAAGACTATAATGGACATGTGGGTTTGAAAAATAGGCTTTTAAAGCCCAAAGGTGATAGACATCCTTGGGAGATCAAAGAAGTTATACTGTAAAGGCCAGTAAGTCTGAGGGCATCATTTCAGGGTTTATTTCCACAAAATATCATGACACCCATGTATCAACCTCTCTCTCTCTTTCTCTCGCTTCTTTCTCTCTATCGCTATCGCTCTCTCTATCTCTCTCTCTCTCGCTTCGCTCTCTCTCTCTACTCGCTCTCTCTCTCTATCTCTCTCTCTCGCTATCGCTCTATCTCTCTCGATCGCTATATCTATCGATCTCTAGACTATCTCTCCTCTCTCTCTCTCTCTCTCTCCTACTCTCTCTCTCCAAATAAGCATTAATAAATAATTTATAAGCGTTTATAATAATACATAATAATTTATGAAACATTCACAAACATATGTAAATATTTGTAAGCATACATTTCATAATGGCTTATTCATGCAAACTATTATAAAGTGTCAAGAATTGATAAATTAGAAAACTCCCATACTTTCACAACGGCAACGCAATCGCCAAAGAAAACGCCATACCTGGCCATTACTGCAGCCACAGAGATACTGTATGGACAACCAGGAATTGCCTTGCAAGTAAGATACCACTAGAGGACAGCAGAGGTCCAAGTTAGGTGATTGGATCACACGCCCCTCCTGTGGAGATAAGAGATACC